GGGTATTTTGAGAATTTGAAACATTTGCTGGCAGCAAGGACAATAAGCCAACACTGTGTCATATGTGAGTTAACTGACATATCTCAGCCATGCTGACGTTACTGAATTACCCAAGCTTCTGATATTTGGATGTTCGACTCTTTAGGCGCTCTGTGATGATAGTCGTTTGTCGAAACGCATTCAATTGGAATAATTTGCTAACAAGCATACGCAACTGTGAATGTGATTGTAAGTATGGGAATCAGTGTAGCTTGAAAAATTTGCCGGATAGTTCAGTTAATTTGAAGTAATTTTGTCTACTCATGTCAAACTGATGCTAATGCATTTGCTGTGAATATTATTTGTGCTCAAATACCTACGAAACCCGAATGGCAAGGGAGAATGTATTAAAACCAAGGTGTCAAAGATCTTTCAGGGTATCGACTCTCCACCACACGGATATTCACACCATTGGATGCGGCAAATAAAGTTTTTTTTTTTTACTGATTCTGTGTATTTTAGACTTAGCAAGCCTTTTATTGATTCATAAATTAGATCTGAAAATAAGGCAGCCACGGTCTTGCATCCATTTTCCAAGACTATGGCTAGTTCCTGCAAAGATGTTAACAGACGTCCGTAGGAAACTTGATATATAGGGTGAACACTTTCCAATGCTTTATAATAGCAGCACAGCCCATGGAGCTATATAGAATAACGGAGCTGTTCAAAGTGGGCGGCGAAGAACTGGTACGTAGGGCGAATTTACCAGCAATGGGATGTAATCAATTTGGATCCGAAGACTGAAATTTCAGTGTATTTTATCCGCTTAACAAGACGGGAGATCCTGCCGTTTGCAGCAATTACCGCGGCATAAACCTTTCTAATATGCCATGCAAGGTCCTGTTAACCATTCTGTGTGAAAGCATGAAGTCCTTCGTGAACAAATTGGCCGAGACTTATTTTCCATAATGAAAACAGATTGGCCGAGACACGTGAGTGCTGGGAGATTAAAATGCTGGCTGATAGGAAGAACGTCCGAAAATTTTACCAGAAAGTTAAATGACTTACGGAAAGTTTTAAGATCAGGGCGAATTTCTGTTAGAATAACTTATATTTACATACATATATTATGGCGGCCGCTATGGTGTAGTGGTAAGCAGTGCGCGCTTCCACTCCGCAGCGCCTGGGTTCAAGCTCCGGTCAAAGCAATATCGAAAAAAATATATAAAGAAAAAAGGTTTTTTCTTAACAATGGTCGTCCCTCGGCAGGCAATGACAAACCTCCGAGTGTATTTCTGCCATGAAAAGACAGCTTCTCAAAAAATAAAACCGCCGTAAACACTGTTTGTTATGAGACAACATCAAGGCGCACGCCATAAATCGGAGGAGCAGCTCGGCCAAACACTAACATATGTGTAAGCGCCAATCTATTATAAATATATTATTATAGTATAATTGATTTTGAGGCGAGCAACACGATTCCATTATTCAAAATTCGAAAAAAAAAATTTTGACAGCTTAATTAAAAAATGCATTAGATATTTATTGCATTTTTTTCTATTTGCATACAGCTGTGCATCCTTCACTCAATTATATATCCCTCGTAAAAGAATTCAGTTTTAGTGCTATTCAAGACCATTCGACGGACCGAGGTCGAGTCCGCGGGCAGGGATTTTTTATATATTTTTTGTTTTGTCAATGTAACGGGTGATTTTTTAAGAGCTTGATACCTTTTTTTTTAAAAAAAACGCATAAAATTTGCAAAATCTCATCGGTTCTTTATTTGAAACNCGAACCGAACACTGATTTTGGTAATAAAATTCAATGATTTGCAAGCGTTGCTCGTTAGTAAGTCTATTCATGATGAAATGTCAAAGCATACTGAGCATCTTTCTCTTTGACACCATGTCTGAAATCCCACGTGATCTGTCAAATACTAATGCATGAAAATCCTAACCTCAAAAAAATCACCCGTTAGTTACCTTTTTTAATGTAATTTTCTTTTAATGGTAGATTGCATTGTTTTAAAAAGAAAAATATGTACTATATTTTTGTTTTGCAATTTTTAGGCATTTATTTTCTTACTTTTATAAATTTTTTTTAAATTTAGTTTTTAAATTTTATTGTTTTAAAAATAAAAATATTTTACCAATTTCATTTAATTTTTAGAAACCTATATTTTCTTCCTTTTAATTATTTCAATTTTTTTTAATTTAGTTTTCTTTTCAGTTTTAGTTTCTATTGCTTTAAAATGAAAAATATTTGTTTTAAATTTTAATTAATCTTTTGGAACCTATTTTATTAACCGACTTCAAAAAAAAGGAGGTTATCAATTCGTCGGAATATTTTTTTATGTATGTTACCGCATAACACTGGACCACTTTAACCGATTTTAGAATTACTTTTTTCAAGGAAAGATGGTACGTCAGAGATAGTCCCATACTAATTTGGTCTAGATCCGATCATTAGATTATGAAGAAATTAACGACTTTTAAATGTTTATGTAAGAATTGGTATAATAATAGTAATAATAATAGATTGGCGCTTACACATATGTTAGTGTTTGGCCGAGCTTCTCCTCCGATTTGTGGCGTGCGCCTTGATGTTGTCACACAAAGCGGAGGGACCTACAGTTTTACGCCGACTCCGAACGGCGATTGTATTTTTATGAGAAGCTGTTTTTCATGGCAGAAATACACTCGGAGGTTTGCCATTGCCTGCCGAGGGACGACCGCTGTTAAGAAAAAACCTTTTTTCTATATTTTTGCGATGTTGCTTTGACCAGGGTTTGAAGCCAGGCATTGTGGAGTGGAGAAGTGGTATTCTGCTTAAAAATTACTTGTTTTTCTTTTACTAATTTATTTTTTCTTTTACTAATTTATTTTTTCTTTATTTGATTTAATTTTTCTTTAAATTTTAGAATTGTATTGTTTTAAAAAGAACAATTTTTTTTAATTTCATTTAATGTTATTAGTTTATTTTTATGTATTTTTTCCTATTTAGTTTAATTTTTTGATTGTATTGTTTTGAAATATATTGTTTAAAGCATTTAATTTTTTTTTTTAATTTATTTTAGTTTTTCTTTTCTTATTTAAATTTACATGTATATCTTTTTAGTTTTTATTCTTTTAAACAGAAACCTATATGTTTTTAATTTCATTTAATTTTTAGAAAATTATTGTGAGCGAAAAACGCTACAACCTCCTCGGTACCAGAGCTTTTGACAGTTCTTTTATGGAAGGCTTTTTTCTTTCGAAAGGCTGTATGTCTGGAGTTGAAAGACATTTGCCTGAATTGCCCTGTAACTCGCAGACAAAATACAAAGTTCATTAATCAGCTTTTAACTGTTTTAACCGTGTAACCTTTATATTTCTTCCAATGATGTTGATGGCTTCTTAACTTCCGAAGAGATCACGCGGAATCCCACCAAGATTGTGCGGTGATTTTGGCTTTGATGGCACAGAAACATCCCTCCTGGCTCCCCAAACGCAAAAAGTGGGCTTAATTCCAATTTTCTTGTCTTAAAATAGCCTGTGCAGGGCCTTTTCTTAAAAGTTTTCACTACAAAATAAATTTACAAATGGGCGTTAATAGTTCTTTAAACCTTCCTACTTACATATGTATATTTGTACATATGTATGTATGTACATAGATATCACAGAATTGGTAAGTAAAAAAGATGAAACGCACTAGGAGTGGATTTTTTTTTTAATTTTGTATCAAAAATGTTTGCTAAATTTTCCATTATCTGAACATAATTGCCTCCTATAATGCATTCCTAATCCAAACGATCTAAAATACAGGATATCCTGACATTTTGCTGTACATATGCAAGCATTCTAATGCATCGCAAGGACAATGCACTCAAAGGACACAGGTGCAACTAATGCACATGCAACAAAAAAAAAAACAAAAACTATAAGCTATGCAATACAACTTTTATGTGAATTAGAACAGTAACAAGACGCCAAGCTGGATAGGTTAAAAATGTTTGCATGTTTGTAGATGCCTAAAAAATGAAACCAAAAACTTTTATTAGCCTTCGATCAAAGGAAATATTTCAAATTTGCGATTCTTTGGCGATAACATACTCGGCCAAACAATTCAAAAATACATTTTATTGTCGGCGAATGTAATACAAATTCTCACACTTCCTGTCGCAATCGAAAATAAAGGCAAGGACTCACATTTCTTGAATGAATAGAGACCAAAAGAAAAAAAAAACAAACACAAATTGCAAAATGACTACTTTTTGTTCGCTTCGTCTTCTATTTAGCTGAAACTATTTATTATTTTTTTTTTTGCGAGCGCAAGTAAACGTGGGAGAATTGCTGAAAACAATGAGCGCACTGGGCGAGTATACAAACATACATACACACATATGTATAAAAATGCTCTAATCGCGATGAATGTATGAATGTATGTGCAGTTGTACTTGTTTAAATTCGTAGGGATACAGGATACGCAATTGGATTTTTGGGTGCTTGACACAAACAAGTGTAGACGCTGCGCTTTGAGTCATTCGATATGGCCACGCAGTATGGCAAAAAAAAGGATAATAACGAAGCTAATAGACGGTATCAAATTTAACTCGAACACCAGCAGCAACAGAGCAACAATAAGTCAGCAACAGAATGTCTGCGGCACCAACAGCAGATAATCATCTTGATTCAGAAAGTTCCAATGTCTCATATGGCGAGCGCAAACCAAAAAAAAAAACCGCCAATCCTTAAAGAAATACTCGCAAATAAAATGCTAAAGGGTGGCACACACACACACACACACAAAATAAGGTGAGGTAATTGTCTACTTAACGCTGACATTGAGTGTCCTTTTCCTAAGGCGAACAAGGCCATGCACCAATTGTGGCTGCAATTGTGTGCGTGTGTATGTGTGTGTGTGTGTGATCGACACACAATTATTTCATTCATTTGCTGGCCGTGGTTGAGGTTAAGGAACCTGCGATTTTCATACTTAATTGGTTTCTTAATTTTGTATTTTTTTGTACCTTTGAGCGTTGCTGTTGCTGCTCCTCTTCAGCTGCGACTGCTGTTTGCCCTGCAAGTGCTTAACTCTTCCACTTGTTGTGTGTTTGATGTAATTTTTCTAGTTTTGTTTTCGGCCTATGCTTGCGTGTTACGTGGATTACATTCGTTTTATATTTTGAATTCTGTGCCTATTTAAGACAACAATTTCAGCTGACACATCAGCAGATGCAGGAAATATGCTGCAGGAAGGATTAAAGGTGGCCAACTTGTAAATGCACTGAAGCATTGAATGCCGAGAAGTGACAGGTTGCACAACAAATCTACATAGCTACTAGATTAATTTTTTTTTAGTTCAGTACATAGCCTGGAGTACTTATGTACTTGTGAAGTTTTTTCATACACCCAATGGACCTAATATGCTCAACAACATATTGGTGTTAGAAATACGTCCTTCGGGACCATTGCCTGGTTCACTAATGAAACTAGAACAGGCAGGAAGTATAATCGCTACTGGACTTTCACACCTCCTCTCTGGGAGCACAGTTGAACCACATTTCGTCTTGTAGCGCGGCCAATGAAGTGATCGGATTCTACCGATCTCGAAAGACCAACTTGTACAATGAGAACGGGGTCACGCAAACTATGTGGGATCGCTATAGGAACTTCAAAAACGTGTTTGACGTAATTAGAAGAGAGATGCTGAAATACATGAGAGAAAAGCTTGAAATGCTGAGTGACTGGAAGGAAACTAGGACAAGCTCCAGTAATAACAAAGAACGGAAAGCGAATTAATGACTGCTGACCTGAACTTAAATTATGTAGGGAAGACTTCTATACCCTAATGAATGATAACAGCACCAACAGCAGAAACTAACGGAGAACATAAAACTTAACCCTCAGTCAAAGACGACGGTTTGCTGCGGTCAGCTGTTGCTTAGAAAGGAGCAACGTCAGGCTTTCGCGAACAATTAGGTTAGGGGAGGTTAATCTGGCCAGCATTGAGCCGCACATAGTATGGTAGAACCTTAGCGTGACCAGTTGGAGCTCGTTTTCTATGCGTTAAAGTAGACATCCCAAAGGATGTCAACGTTTTTTGCGAATTTACGTAGAAATTGCAGCCCTATTTTCGGGATGTCCTCTAGTTTCTCGAATTCGTAGGCTCCCAAGCATCTCAAGAGCTCCACTAAAATATCACTAAAGTTTCACTAAAAGTTTTAGCATTCTAAATGACGTATACTAAGTATGAGTCTACGAAAGGTACGTGGCGTACATTAGGCCATATTAGCCTAACCTAGAACGATATCTATACATATATATAGATATTAAAACAAAATTTATATTGGGGGTCTTTATTAGAGCAACAGAAGCCAAATCAACAATTTTTAGAATTTGTTTCTGTCTGTCTCATCACTCGAAAACTAATGCATTAAATTAAATACAGTTTTCACCGATGTATTACTAGAGGTCTAACTTAAAATATATGAAGACAAAAACTTAGAGAGTTGCCACATTTTTGAAAATTGCAGTTTAAGTAAATTGATAAGACAAGGTAAATATTGCTATATAGCTGTCTATAGAAAGCGGTTTAAGAAGGCTTACAGCCAAAAATATTTTTGTGAAGATGGTCACATGTTTGAAAATTTTAATTTAATTTAATTAATAAGATAAATTAAATAGTGCAATATGGGTATCAAACTGAAGAGGCTTAGGAATTTGATTTATTTTGGAACGAATTTCGGTCATCCCTTGTCAAGTTTGGTTTGCAGACAAACCGGTTTCGGCGTTGTACCATCTTCAGTGTCATTTTTCGTTCTGTCTGGTTCGAGATTTGTCCCTAATTTATGTTCATTTATCTTAGGTAATGTGATTTTCGTCGATGATTAATTACTAGATATGCCATGGTGCCCATTTTTTTGAAGCAGGTAATAGGTTCATCTTCGCTGTTTCGATATTAACATCCATTATGTTGTCGCTGTATGGTTTTTGCCTGCAGGTAGGTAAAAGTCAGTGATTTTTGCCCTGGTGGTGCTTTTTGGTGTGTTCGGAGTGTCCATGCCTGTTGTTTTGTTGTCATTTTTCTTTTTTTCGTAAATCAATTTTAAGGGTTCGAATATAACATCCGATGCGGTATTTGTTTGTTCGTTTATTATTTTGCCGTCGAAGGTTTTTAGTTTGTATATTTCCATATTTTCTAGGACGTTTAGTCGTTGGCCTTTATGTTGTACATGCAGTAGTTTCGCTGCCTTTCTTATTTGCGTTGGTGAACATTTGTTGTTAAACATGTGGTTAGCAAAATTTGACTCTGGTATTGCGCTCGGTTTCTGTGTCTTTTTGTTATAGTCTCTTATATGCTCGCGGAATCTTGTTTTTATTTTACGTCCTGTTTGACCTATGTAACTATGCTGGCATTTGCAAGTTAGTTTATAGACTCCTTGTTTATCCAATGGATCTTCTTGATTTGTGGTGTTCCGTAGTATCCGTCCCACGTTGTTATTTGTTCTGAATGATGTGCGAAGGTTGTGTTTCTGGAACAGCTTTGCAAGTTTGTACGTTGACTTTCCAGTATAGGTTAATACCGCCCAATTTTTGTTATTGTTTTCTTCTTTGTTTGGCTTTTTGTTTTTGTGCTCCCTTCGGATTTCTTCTACCAGATCTCTTTTGTATCCGTTATTAGCCGCTATGGCATATATTGCGTCCAGTTCTTTGTTGTATCCTTCTTTTGTTAGTGGTATTCGCTCAATTCTATTGATCATCTGTCTAAAGGCGGCTTTTTTATGCTGATGAGGATGGTTCGATGTATTATGTATTATTGTATCTGTAGGCTTAGGAAAGTTTACTTCTGAAAATATTTTTTATGAGGGTTGCAACCTGTTTGAAAAATTTTATTTAATTCAATTGATAAAATAAAAATGAAATATTACCACACCGGTATCAAACAACCAAAAAAACGTTTAAGGCGCTGTAAAGCACGCCGGGTATTTGCTAGTTTTGAATAAATTTCTATTGTTCGAGAATATTTTTTTCACTTTTCTTGTCACAGACACGGTTGAAAATGACTGTGACTGGCTAGTCCTGGAATGCAACGAGATTGCCCATCTCTAATGGCAATGAAGGCTGCTGAACTAAATTTATAGTAAGGAAGTCTATCCGAATATTAAAATCTAAAAAAAAACAATGTTCTTGAATGTAGGTGAATTGGTTTCTGAAATATGCATTTCTTCAGATATTGCTAGCGATATCGTATCCATGCACAAGCAGGTCAGCCATATAAATTCCACATTGTTCGAATTTTTCTACTACAAACTATTCTTATTTTTTTTTAGTTTTTAGCTCCCATCCTTAAAGCCCTGTTTTTATCTAACAGCAGGGTGTATACTATACTAAATAGTAAGGAGATCACTCCTTCCACATATCGATGCGTCTAAGTAACATCAACTCAAGAAAAAAGGAGTTCGGAATTTCTATGTCCATGAGTCAAAATTCATAAAGCATACATATAAAATTAATATGCAACAAATTATAATTTGAGAACACCTGAGAACATTTTATAATACTCGAATAATTTTTTTTATGAATTTGTTTTGTATGTATATCAAAGGGTTAAACCGCAATTGTTTAAAAATTCTAAAACGCATTGCGTGCATACTTTGCATATTCAAAGGTGAGCGTTCTCATTTGTATATCTACACAGCTATATAAGTAGTTACATTCTACATATAATTTATAAAATAAATAGCCAATGCTGAGTACCTGTGCGTGCGTTTATCATCCCTGAAACTTTCCTCTGTTATATACATACATACAAATGTATATGGTAACTTTTTATTAAATTCTCATTAACTGCGTTTCATATATGTACATATATACATATACATACATATATACATATGTACTTATTTAGATGCGAGTCGTATATGTAATTTGCATTTAACCAACCGCGACTATTTTGAATGCAACGCAATGAAAGACCACATTTACAAATACACCACCAAAACAATTATAATCTAACCCTTTTAGTTGATTTGTAACAATGATATACCTACCTAAATATACATATACACACCTTCATTTGATGTCATTGTAGTATATTTGTTTGTATTAAAATTATAAGTTATGTTATTGTGTGGAAAATACTAGTAATATGTCGCAGTTGTAAACGACCTCATTATAATATTTGTAGAATGAATACCAAATTTTAACTCGCATTTGAAGCTTATATTTATCTGTCGCATTTAACAAAATTAAGTTATTATATGAATGAAATAGACAAATTATATAAATTAGTAACCAAAAATTCTGATATTTTCAGTTTTTCACATGAGGATGAGAAAATTAATATAAGCGTTCAAGATACATATGTACATACGAAGGAGTCAGGTGGCCATTCAAACAATTGCCCATAGTTTTTTTTTGTTTTTATTCGAAATTTAAAAAACAAAACGAAAAAAGTGCCAGGGAGGAAATATTGGGTATTATCTTAAACTGCCTTCAGTCCTTAGAATCAAGTGCTCTCTGCTAAAATGTATTGATAAATATATACATACGTATATCTATACAGATCTGAATTTAATTCTAAATTGTCATCCACAGCCTTCTACCTCTTAAAGGGGTAACCCTTTAAAGCTATTAATATAAATTTTGTATAGCTCTTATATGCAAAAAAATCAATTAATATCCAGCAAAATATGTTCGATAATTTTTTTTTATATGAAAGAAAATGCGCTATACCCTCAAAGAAAATTATCAAAAATCAACGTAAATGGTGCATAAAACCAAAAATCATCAAAATTTTTTCTAAAAATTCTGATTAAAAAGTTTGAAATTTTGATTACAATTTTTCGAAATTTGTTGAAAAATTGTTGAAACTTTTGAAGATAATTAAAATTCAAGGAAAAGAACTTCGAACTTCAACTAGTCCTGGACTTCTAAAATGGACGAAAACTTTTTTATTGAAAAACGTAAAAATATGAATCACCAAGTCAGGGATGCTCTATCTTTTGGTCGTATTACCGACTTCCGTAGAGACGCGCGCCCTACACACGTT